GGGGTTCTAATGGTGAAACCAACAAATATCACTGGAATTCGTAGTGAAAATTGTGTTATCCAACTGAAGAAGGAGGAATAGGAATAAGAAGAATGGAAAAAATCAGCGATACCCTTGCAATTAAAAGATGGTGGAGGTTTAGATCGAAGTCATCCCTCTTATCTACTTTTCTAAAAAATAAGTATTGTGTAAGAGCTCACCCTACAACTAAGCAATGGGCTTCTGGAGACTCCCACCTGTGGAAAAAGCATGACTCGGACTAGAAAGAAAGCTGAAGACCATATGATCTGGCATGTTAATTCAGGAAGTTGTAGTTTTTGGCAGGATAACTGGACAGGAAAGGATCCCCTAGCTGTTGAAGTACCTAATGCAACTAAAAGTACCAGAACTCTGGTGAATTCTTTCATAGCTAATAGGGAATGGAATGAATGCAAGCTGAGAGAAACTCTCCCTGATCATTTGGTGCATCGGATCCTAACCATTGAAATAGGGAGGCTCTCTGGGACTTGACAGAAACCGGTAAAAATACAAACAAAACTGCTTGGAATATGATAAGGAGTTTCAAATCCAAGGAGCAATATTTGAGTAAAGTTTGGCACTTCAGCATCACTTTTGAAATATCTTTTTTTGCCTGGAGATTATGGCAGAATAAACCTCCTTTCAATGAAATCATCAGTATGTTTGGAAGGAACATTACTACCACATGTTTTTGTTGTTCTAATCCTAAAATCGACTCAATCAAACATGTATTTGTGGATGGAAATACGACAAGGAAAATACGGAACTTTTTTGGTGGCCCTATAGATATTTCGGGTCAATTGGGTACCATAAGGTCCCTACTGAACTATTGGTGGCAATAAAGAGCAACAAATGCAGTTCATAAACTGGTTCTTCAGATTGTCCCAATCATAGTATGCTGACATTTATGGAAATAATGGTGTTCATGCAAATATGGGGATCAAAAGTCTTTAAACATGTGTCAGATTGAACCAACAAATATGTTGGATGATTCAGGCAGCAGTAAAGTAGGTTTTCCCTAGCAATACTTTGACATTGCCATGGATCAATTTTTGTGACACCTTAATCAAGCTTCAACCTATTCCTAAGAGTATTATTGTTTGTTGGAATGAGCAAAAGTAAGGAATGATAAAATTGAATACTGATGGTAGCTATACTTCAAGCAATGAAATATCAGGATTGGGTGGAATTTTAAGAGATAAAAAAGGAAATCTGATCATGGCTTTCTCCCAACCAACTACTTGCAGCAGTAATATAATTGCAGAAGCACTTTCCGCAAAATTTGGAGTACAATGGTGTATTCTAAATGGATACAATAATTTCACTCTTGAATTGGACTCTATTGCAGTCGCACAGATGATCATGGATATGTAGGCGAATAAATACAAGATGATCAATTTGATATATGAAATCTCTCAAATCCTAAGCCAAGGTAATGTCACTGTCAGTCATTGCTTCAGAGAGGCGAACAATGTTGCGGACAACTTAGCTAAGCTTGCCAAGGCCAGCCAACAAAGCTCTTTCTACTACTCTTTCCAAGAACTACCACGGGCAGCAAAGGGTCATTTCATTTTGGACAAATTCCAGATGCCAAATTTTAAGGCTAAGATATGACAAAGCTAATTTTTTTGTAAGTTAGTCTTCTTAGATTATAGGGATGGAAATAAGTCTCTATTTTTGGCCATCCCTTTTTTGAAGGACAAACATATTGTCCTTATGTTTTAACTTATAAGGTAAGGCCAAGTCCCCCCCCCACATCCCCCCTCTTGTTCTTGTCCTCATGAATACAACTTCCCCAGTCATTGGGAAATTTTATAAAATAAAAAATAAAATAAAAAAGTATACTAAAGGAATCTTTGCAAGGAATATGTTGAACGCAACTCGTTTTGCGTCTACTATATAAAGAAGTACATAATAGAATTTGGAGAGACGTGTGTGGACGGCTAGGAACAGAAGAACACAGTGGCAGCAGGTTGAAGCCTTCAATGCCTAAGCTTTTCTTTTCTTCTCTTTCCTTTTTTATAGTTTATTAGTTCTAGGGTTATCAGTGCTACATGAATATTGTAGTTTGAAACATGAATTATTTTTATTAATCTATCATACTGAATTATTAATTTAATTCTGCGCTTAATTATTCGATTGTTTGATCACCAATGAAATACTATCTATGAGTCTAAGATTAGACTCGAAAATGAGAATTGTAGATTGCATATAGGATTAATTAGAATAAGATCTTGAACCTTAGCATCGGGGAATAGATTTGCGTTTAGGATAGGCTTATACCTAACTTGTTTGCTATACATGAATTATTAAAGGGTTCTTGTTAAATCTAATTCCATAGAAATATAGGCATTCGGTGAGCTTGAATAAGCGAATAATACTTCGATCGAATGCAACGAGTAATATTAGCCATGTCAATCAATAAACAAGATAAATTAATCAGTCAATTTAAATGGAATACTCAATGGGATTGTTAGCTGACCCATAGCTCTACAACATTTTCTCTCATTAAATTTGTGGCTAAGCTTGCCGACTTGTTTCCTTTGGTTTCTTAGTTTGCTACTCTCTATTAGTTGTAGTTAAATAATCACACATTAGAAAATCGCTTGAATAAATTGAAAGTACAAGGTGGGTGAATTGCTTATTTGAAAAACTTTTTATAAATAATTGACTAGTTTGCCAATTAGTCGACTAGAAATAAGAACAGGATAATAGTAAATGCAGAAATAAAATGCAGGAAATAAAGACACCTGAATTTTTATACTGGTTCGATTTCAATATGAATCCTAGTCCAGTCTCCTTGGGTTGCAAGAGTATTCTCTTTCAGTGATTGATGATTCTTGAGTACAGAATGGATGATGTAGCTTTACACCAACAGCTTAATCTCTATTTCTCTTTTCTTTTCTTGATACAATACCTTACCAGTATTTATCTCTTTTTCTTCTCTCACTAATTACACAACAGGTGTATAAGAACTACAATGCTTGTTTGGAGTTGAACAAAAGGAATGAAGATGGTTCATTTAGAGTATATTCTTTTCAAGTTCGGAACATATGTATATATACTTTCCATGAGGCCTTCCTGACGAGAATCTTGAGAGGTTGCAAACTCAAGGAAGTTGATCCTTGAAAAGAATCATAAATTGATTCTTTCCAAGAATAAGGTCAAGTTTTCGCTGATCTTCCTTGATTTATGGTCTTGACGAGCTTTCCATCCACTAGGCATATCTTTGTGTTACTTGAGGCATATCTGTTGGATCCCTTGATTTCTAGCTTCATTAGTTTTCGGTGATCTCGTTTCCCTTTGATTTGGACCTTCCAGTAATAGCTTCCGTCTTACTGATTGATTCTTCTTGCCGGATCTCCGCTGCTTCTTCCTTTTTCATCGCTGATCATTAATTATTTTCCTTGCGTTGCTTTTAGATCCTTCATTAATAGATTATTTCCTTAATTAATAGATTATTTCCTTAATCTATTCTTGACTGGTATTGCTTCTTGAATTCTTTAATTTATTCTTGTGATCCTGCACCAAATGTCATATATTATTTTTCATCACTAAAACTTATAATCAACAATCTTCCCCTTTTGATGATGACAAAAATAATATATATTTAAACAAAAGTTGACTTCCATGTAGTTCCTGTAGTCAACTCCCCCTCAATGGGTGCTGCATAATTCAGTCGACTCCCCCTCAACAAGTGCGTTGAATCTGCAAATTGTAATGTTCTTCAGTCGACTCCTGCAATGTACACTTATTTCTCCCCCCTCCCGCCTTTTTTTGACATCACCAAATAGGGGATATACAGATACTAAAGCAAACCATGTAAAGACAATCGCATATTAGGCAATCATTATAGATATTATAGCAGACATCATAGGCATGTAGAGTTTATCAGAAATAAGGAAAAGTATCCAACGACTGGTTATCCAGTCAAAAATAGCAAAACACAAAAAATTATTTGAAACTTCCACAACTAGCGACGCAAGAAGTAAGTAAGAGTGTTGCAAATTGCCTCTTTCAGTCGTTCAAAGTTAGCATTGGATGAAACTGTCACCCCATCAATCATGTCATGTACTTCCTTGAATGTTTTGATTGTATTTTCTCTAAGTCTGAGAATTTTAACCCTCATCATTGAAACATCAAACCCTAGGTCTACTGGTTTTGAGGGATAAGAAGAGGGTTTTCCCTTGGAACAAGTACTTTTTCTAGTAGAGGCAAATGAATTTTTGGAGTGTTTAGCCATGGAAAAACTATTGAGAGAGAGTTTGAAGGATTTCTAAGGAGGGTTTCTGAGCGATAGGAACAATGGAGACTGAGAAGAGTGGTTCAGAAGATTTAAAAGATGGAATTTTGACGATTGAGTGCAAGAAAGAAAAGGATTCAGTGAAAGGTCATGATGATTGATTTTCTTTTCTTGAAATCTACAACTAATGGAAAAAGAGAGGGAAATCGAAGGCGCTAATTTAATTAGTACTTACACAAACAAACAAAATTAAAGCATTAGGCATAATTAAAGAATTAAAAATATCAAATAGGTCCTAATTTTTATGATCAACAGAAATAATACCAAGTAGTTCCGTTAGAAAGCAAAATCTATCTTCAAGTAAAGGCTTAGTGAAAATATCTACTAATTGATCAATATTGCCAACAAATGATAATTCTATATCTCCCTTGAGGACATGATCTCTAATGAAATGATGTTTGATGTCTATATGTTTAGCCCTAGAATAATGCACAGAATTCTTCGAAAGACATATAGCACTAGAGTTATCACAAAATATTTGAATAGGCTTAAAAGATAATACATACTCACCCAGTTGATGAGACATCCATAATAGTTGTGCACAACATTGTCCAATGGCGATATATTTAGCCTTCATTTTGGATAGTGCAACTTTTTATTATTTTTTTACTATTCCATGACATTAGTGCCTATTCCAGTAATTGACATATCCCACTGGCATTTTTTTAGTTTTCCTTATTCATGCAAGATCAGCATATGAAAAGCCTTCCAGTTTAAAATTGTTAGAATGTGGATACCATAGTCTGTAAGAAATAGTTCCAATAAGATAACGAATTATTCTCTTTACAGCAGTCAGATGTGACTCCTTGGGAGCTGATTGAAACCTGGTACATTTACATACACTAAACATAATATCTAGTCGACTGGCAGTAAGGTAAAGTAAAGAGCCAATCATTCCACGATATTTGGTTTCGTCAATAGGATTTCCTTTTTCATCCTTGTTAGCTCATTTGTATATTTAGTTTGGCATATAAACGTTCCTACTTCAGATTGTTGAATTTGAAGTCCAAGGAAAAATGCGAGCTCTCCCATCATACTCATTTCAAACTCACTTTGCATAAGATTAGCAAATTCCTTGCACAAAAGAGGATTAGCATTACCAAAGATAATATCATCAACATAAACTTGAATAACTATATTACCTTCCGATGATCTTTTAACGAATAGTGAAGTATTTAGTTTACCTTTTATAAACCCGTGATCAAGTAGAAATGAGTTAAGTCTTTCGTACCAGGATCGTTGAGCTTGTTTCCATACAGAACCTTAGTCAACTTATACATATGATAAGGGAACTTTGAATCTTCAAAACCAGGAGGTTGTTTTGCATATACCTCCTCATCAATAAAGCCATTAAAGAATACACTTTTGACATCCATCTGAAAAAGTCTAAATCTTTTGAAGGATACGTCTACAAGAAGAATTCGTATTGACTCTAGTCGAGCTACTGGAGTAAAGGTTTCATCGTACTCGACTCCTTCCTGATGTGATTACCCTTAAGCTACTAATCTGGCTTTGTTTCTCACAACCTTTACATCTTCAATGAGCTTATTTCTGAAACCCCATTTTGTTCCAATTAGAATAGCATCTGCTGGCCTACGCAGCAATTTCCAAACTTGGTTTTTGTCAGATTGATCCAGTTTTTCCTGCATTGTGTGTACCCAGATTGAGTTCTTTATGGCTTCCTCTATCTTCTTAGGTTCAATATGAGAAATCAGTGCTATATTTGTTTTTTTCTTTAGAGCTCTCCTGGTTTTCATTCCTTCACGTAACGACCCGATCGGTCGTTTTAAGAACTAACGCCCCGATCCCCTATTAACTACATTCCCCTTATTTGTTTTTGCTATTGTGAGTTGCCGGGAGGATTTATTTGGAGTTTCGGAGAGTTTTGGGGACACTTAGTCCTTAAATGAAGGATTAAGTTGTAGAATTTGGGCAGAAGTCGAAGTAGTGTGAAGACGACCTTGGAATTGAATTCTGACGATTTCGATAGCTTCGTTGGTGATTTCGGGCTTAGGGGCATGTTTGGATAGTATTTTTGAGGTCTGTAGCTAATTTAGGCTTGAAATGCCAAAAGTTGAATTTTTGAAGTTTCCGGTTTGATTGTGAGATTTTGATCTAAGGGTCAGAATGGGATTTCGGAAGCTGGAGTAGCTCCGTAGAGTTGAATGTGATGTGTGTGCAAAATTTTAGGTTATTCGGATGAGGGTTGATAGACTTTTCTATCGAAAGCATAAATTGAGAGTTTTGGAGTTCTTAGGCTTGAATCCATAGTTAATTCGATGTTTTGATATTGTTTTAGGTGTTTTAAGGATTGGTATAAGTTTTGATAGTGGTATATGACTTGCACGTGCTTTTGGTTGAGGTCCCGGGGGCCTCGGGATGATTTTGGATTGTTAACGAGAAGTTTGGAGTTGAGAGTTTGCAGTTGAAGCTGCTGAGTCTGTTGTAATAACCGCACCTACGGTTTGGGGACCATAGGTGCGAGCCCACAGAAGAAGTTAAAGTACCGCAGATGCGGTTTGAAGCGGATTGGGATTTGACCGCAGATGCGGTCAAGGCACCGCAGAAGCGGCACCACATCTGCAGAAAGGCAGTCGCAGGTGTGGAAAGTGCTCGTTAATGAAATGTCGTAGATGCGACTTGGTCTTCGCAGAAGAGGGACCGCAGGTGCGGTCCCATAGCCGCAGATGCGGTTTCACTGGTCAGAAAAGGGGCAAAATCGAGGGTTTAGTTTCAACACTTGGAAAATTTATTTGGGAACTCGGGATTGGCGACTTTGAGAGAGATTTTCACTTGGGTATTTTGGGTAAGTAATTCTTACTAGGTTTAGATTAATTTCCACGAATCTATGCTTAAATTCATCCTTTAAATTCGAATTTGGGGTGGAAAAATTGGAGAAAAGTTAGAAAGGTTCCTAGACCTAATATTTGAGTTTAGATCACGATTTTGATGTCGGATTGGAGTAAATTCTATATATATGAACTCGTGAGAGTATGAGGATTCTGAATTTATAAATTTTACCCGATTTTGAGACGTGGGCTCTGGTGGGCATTTTGGTAATTTTTCCTAATTTCGCGTATTAGCTTAGAATTAATTAGTGGGATCAGTTACTTGAAGTGATATTTACATTGTGCACTTGAATTGAATATATTTGGGCCACTTGGAGTCGAGTACTCATGGTAAAAGCGTGGTTTTGAGTTGATTTTGAGTCGGTTCGAGGTAAGTAGCTTGCCTAACCTTGTGTGGGAGAAACTCCCCTTAGGATTTGGTATTGTTGATATTTGAAATGTCTTGTACGTGAGGTGACAAGTGCGTACTTGTGCTAATTATTGAAAATTCTATTTTCATTAAGTAACTTTAATTGTGTTTTCCCTTCCTGTTTATTTTACTTGCAAATTAAGCCTATTGTTAGCTTAGAGAATCATGTCTAATTGACTTAATTGGACTATGTGAAGCATGCTAGGTTAGAAGTACCTGTTTTACCTTGGTGTGAAATTGAATTTAATTGAGTGTTCTTCGTATTGTTGCTGCGTGTTTACTTTGGGACTACGGGACGGTATCGTGGGAGATCCCCTGCACATATGTATATATATATATATATANGAGGATACTAAGAGATCTTTGGGATACCGAGAGATCCCCAGCATATATATTGAGGACACTCAGAGATCCCTGGCATACATATTGAGGATACTAAGAGATCCCCAGCATATATATAGAGGATACTAAGAGTTCCTCGGGATAGAGATCCCCGGTTGCTATCTCTGTGTTGAGCTGTATTCCTTTTTGTGATTATTTTTGTCTCTGTTATAGTCGTTGTTGTTCTTTCTATCATGTGTTACTTCTTACTGTTTCACTTAATTATATTGTCTTATTATATATTGTCATAGCTTGTATTTCATTTAACCTCAGTAGGACCCTGACTTTCCTCGTCACTACCCGACCGAGGTTAGGCTTGGCACTTACTAAGTACCGCTATGGTATACTCATACCCTTTCTACGCATGTTTTTCATGTGCAGATCCAGGTACTTCGACTCAGTCCTTCCACCCTTGAGGCGAAGCAATTTTTCCTAGAGAATTCGAGGTATATCTGCCGTGTCTGCAGACCGAGGAGTCCCTTTCCATTCTCTCTTTAAGTATTAACCCTTCTGTATTTTCTTTTGTTAGATATTCTGGAGTTAGATACTTGTAGACTTTCAAAAGCTTGTGATTTCATGAGATTCCGAGTTTTGGAAAATGTAGTTCCAGTTGAGAGTTGTATTGTATATGCGAGCGACATCTTAAATGTTTTATTTTGATATCTTTCTATAGTTTTGGCTAGTTTTATTCTGTTATTTCTTGTCTTTCCGCAATTTGTTAGGCTTACCTAGTCGTAGAGACTAGGTGCCGTCACGACAGTTCACGGAGGGAGAACTTGGGTCGTGACAAGTTGGTATCAGAGTTCTAGGTTCATAGGAGTCATGATTCACAAGCCAGTTTATTAGAGTCTCGGGGATCGGTACGGAGACATATGTACTTATCTACGGGAGGCTATGTAACTATTAGAAAAATTCCACTTCATTTGATTTCTCTGTCATACGAGATTTTTGACATCACAATCCTAAACCTCTGTCTTCCATTCTCTCACAAATGGTGAGGACATGTGATACCAAAGAGGATCAGGCACCCGCGCCCCCTACTGGAGCCGTCAGAGGTTGGGGCCAAGGTAGAGGCTGAGGACGCGCACGTGGTGCATCCAGAGCACTCGTACGAGCTACCACCGAAGTGCCACCAGCAATTCCAGCCGGAGTCCAGGCACCTGATACGCCTACTGATGCTACTACTCCAGCACTTCAGGAGACCTTAACATAGTTCCTGAGCATGTTTGGTACATTGGTTCGGGCGGGATTGATTTAGGTTGTACCAACTACTTCACAGATCCGGGAAGGGACCCAGACTCCCACCTCCCCCACTCCAGAGCAGCGAGTTCTCATTGGTCAGGTTCCAGGTGTCATGGTGACATAGCCTATGGTCCCAGTTCAGTGGGTGGCGAGGATCTCTTGCCAAGTAGAGGACAGATGGGTCCAGGAGAGAGAGGAAAAACGAGGTCAGGAAAGAGAGTACAGGGAGGCGGGGGAGACCTCGTAGATCGGAGAAACCCACTGGTCCTTATTTTAGAGGAAGATTATGGCATGGTAGAGGTTTTGTGGGTCAGCCAGCTCAGTTTGCGTCTCAGGCTTCACATAGTGTTTAGGTGTTTAGGGGTCTCAGAGTACCCGTACCGCACAGTTCCCACTGATGCGTCTGCCGCGAGGTTGTTTTGAGTGTGGTGACATACGCCATGTGGTGAGGTATTTGTTACACCCCGCAATATTACGTCAATATTACGTCCATCTGTATTAAGTTACGACAGTGTTCTGCCCAGTAGTATTATATTACGGTGATGTTACGCTTCGCAGTAATAAGTTACGACAATGTTGCACCCTGCAGTATTGTACGTTGAATTTGTCGTAAGGTAACTGACATCAGTCCAAGTAAAAGATTATTTAGAGATTATAAGGATTATGTTATTTCATAAGTAATTAGTAAAGGAAGAAGAGGAAAGCAAGTCAAAGAAAATGAATTTTCGTCCAAGTTGACATATTTGGATAAAATACGGGTCGTGCGATAATACCCGGTATTTTCGGACTAGTACCATAAAAGGTACCATATGACCATGATAGTGGGATGTATATAGTATATTAAAAATAAGTAGAATTTTAAGAAATTTTAGATAATTCTTAATTATTCGGGTAATTGATTAATTACCGGGTAACGAAATATTACCTAATTAAATTAATTAAAAAACTTTGGATAACTACAAAATTAACTACGTGGCAGCAAGTAAATAGAGTCTAATGACTCTTATTTTATATTCTATATTAACAAGACACTTGGACAACTATTGAGCCTTAAAAATAAAGATGTTAAAGTCATCATCAATATTATGCTCATTTTTGGCATAAGAAAATTCCATCTGGGATTATATTTTTCCCGTGACTTTGTTTAATGGGAATCTCTCAATTTGGATCCTTAATTTACACATATCAAGTAGGTGTGACATGGGTATGGGTGCTTTGGGTAGATCCTTCAAATTAGCAGAAGACTACAAGTACCGGACTGGATATTTACATTTACACAAATTGTGTAGGTTTTGTTCCTGAAGCCAGGTATGTTAAGGCTATCCCTTCTATTCTTTTGGCATGATCCATACGATATGAAAGAAACGTGCAAATGCACAAATTCCATAAGTGACTCTACTCATAGAAGTAATAGAAATATCTATATTCTTTAATTTCCATGTGTCATAATATTTTATCATCTATTCATGTGTCTCAGAAAAATACGAAAGTTGAAAAGATGTTACTTTACGATATTGCTCAAGAGGCAAAATGGTCTTATGACATTCTGAATGATTTTATTGACGTACTTTTCATGCATTGCATTCATGTGCATTGACCCATGGCTAGATGGCGTTATATACGCCTATATATGTAAATATATGTATATGGGATATGGGAAAAGGTTACGGCGTTATATATGCACCCCCACATAATCAGCTGGTATATGATGATGATGTTGCCCACTGTGGCTGAAATATGATTCAAACGGCGTTATATACACATATATATGTATCTACTCAAACGGCGTTATATATGCGTATATATGCATGTATATATATGTATATGGGATATGGGAAAGGTTATGGCATTATATACGCACCACCACCTGATCAGC